GTTTCAATATCTTTCTAATCATTATATTTATACTTTTGTCTGTCCTGTTTCAATTTCATATTTTCTTTTCTCATAAAACAAAATTTTCTCCCGTAGTTACTTATTGGAGTATGACACCTTTGCATCTTTTAATTTTTATCCATTCAACTCTTATTTAAACTTTAATTTATGCCTTTACAATTATAACATTCAATATAACACATAACTTCCAGTCAAATTCTGCTTGGTACATTCTTAAAATATGCACTAAGTTCTTAAAGAGAAAGTATATATACATATATATATATATATACATACATATATACATACATATATATATATATACACATACACATACATACATACACACATATAACAATAATAAATAAAATACTTATTCTATTCCAATTCTGCTCTATCATTAATGTTATTTATAATCTTTAACATCTTTAACATTTCTTTTCAATAGGATATCATACTTCTAGGAACACTTATAATATTTCCATATTTTTTTCATATTTCTTTCATATTCCTCTTCACTTAAATTTTTATAACACATTAACAATAATTAAAATGTTCCCCTCCTTTCCTAATTTCATTCTCTCATTCTCTTTATTTCATTTATTTATTAAACATTCCATTCCATTACAATGAGTATTTTATCTATCATTTTAATCACACTTGTTTCATATTTTCAAAGTTCATTTCTATTTCTAATATAACAATACTATCTTATGTACCCTTGCAGAATCCCCCTTTCAATTAAATTTTCACCCATTATCTCTGTGTCTTCTAAATAGGCTTATACCCTTAATCCTTGTACGTTTTCCCTGTTTCTCTATATCCTGTTTCTGTCCTTTATAATTTCTTTTCCTTTCCCTCTTCCCCTTCTTCTTCTCCCTTCCCTTTTTGACCCCTTCTCTCTCTAATTCTGATTCTCTTTTCTGTAGTCCTCTCTTCTGTTCCTTCCTAATATTGTAATTACTTTTCAAACTATTCTTTTTTGGGGTTGTTTTTTTCAAATCTTGAATTTTCCACTCTCTTCCCCCCCCCCCCCTTCCTTTCTTTTCTCCGCATAGAAATACTTGGTCATTGAAGATGGCTTCTTCTTTGTCCCGCCCTTCTTATTCAACAGGCATTTCTTGTTGTTTCTCATAGTTCAGGATCTCCATTTCTAAAAATTGAAATACAAAGCCAAAAGAACCTCTTCCTTCTTGTGCATCTTCTTTCTGTTCTTTTAAGTTCCATTCTCAATTCTTCCAAGAGTGATACCATTTTTAAAAAATTTAAACAACCACCCGATTAAGTTTAATCCTTTAGATCCAATAGCCAAAAATCAAAAAATCACCAAGTAATCCAAGTAATCCAAAGCTGTTCCTTCTTGCTTCTTTTTTCCACTTTCTCTTCCTGGGGTTCTATTATCTTGTTACAAAGTTTCAGTTAAAATGTATCTTTTAGGAATCTTGTTAAAGTTTCACTGTTAATTCCTTTCACTTTCAGGTGGTCTCCTCCATTTTTCCAGATCCCACTCTTTTGTATTTTTTCCTTCTTTTTAAAAGTTTTTGAGAATCCAGAAATCTTTATTAACCCTTTGATATTTTATTTTTAGCTTAAATACCTATTAATGTCAAAGTGGATTTTTGCTGGTTTCTTGCTTAACTCTCTTAGTTGTCAATATAGGGAAGAAAAGAAAAAAAAACAAATCCTTTCCCTTCCCTCTCTCATTCGCCGCTTCAAAGTCTTCTTTGGGAACAACGTTGTTCTTTATAATTCAAATTCCAGGGTACCTTATATTGTTGCTTTTTCAGTTCGACTCGATCAGCCAAAACTTTCTTTTCTTATCTTCCTCCTGCACATTCTTTTCCAGTCGAGTTCTTCTTTGAGGTGGCCAATTCTAACCACCTCTGCAACTGCCTTCGGGAAAGGGTGTAATGGCCAGCTGAGGAGGAGAGATGCGACTCTCCTCGACCCTATTGGCAGTCTCCCCACTCTTCAACACCTCTACGGGGTGGCTTAGCCCCAAAACCAGCCGGCTCGGGGCGCTCCAGCAGCTAGCACAGATCGAAACTGCGGATGTTCGCAGATTTCGGTCTATCACTGAAGAAGCTCAAACCGGAAGCCCAGACTTGGAAAAGTTTTATAGCTGCTGTTTAATCCTTAGTCTGTCAGCACTATTTTCTCCAACAGTGATGGTTGCAAGCAAAACTATCTATTAGTCTTCACACCAGCATGGCATAAACTTATATTTTAGCTCTCCAGACACTTAACCACTTATTTTGGGTGTGGCTTATTCATCAAAAACTCACAGGCATGATTCAGCAAGCTTTGTCCCTTTACCACAGATAACAGTTAAGATACACACACACACACACACACACACACCAAAGATTTTTTTAAAATTGTAGTTCACAGAAATCAAGGCCTACATATAAATCTGGGCTCCAGGATTCAAATTTTAGGCTATTTTTTCATCTTTTTAAGAAAATAAATACCTGACGCTTCTCTTGATGATCTTGCAAAACAGCTGGTCTATGTTATCTGTGTTAACAGTTCACTCAAGTTCAGGAAAAACTAGTTTATGTCTCACCTTCTTCAGTCCTTATGAAAGGGGAAAAATAGGATATTTGGCTCCCTGAAGTATTCAATTATTTCTTTTTTGCCATTTTTATTATGGACAGCTAAAATCATTTAAAAATTATCAACTGCAGTCTCATAGGACATTGTTACAATGTTACCCTTTTTTAAAAAATGCAATATTTATTTCATTTACACTTGCCCCTTCCTCCAGCAGATCAATATAACACTCCTCCAATTATATCCTCAAAATATTTTGTGGCTTAAGATAAGCTGAGACATAATGATCAACAAAAACTTACTTAATCAAATAGCTATCAGTATGAGGATTTGAATCTGAGTCTCCACAATCCTAGTTTGACATTCTAATTATTAGGCAAATAATCATGACCAAGAAGATAGGGATAATAGTCATCCCTAATGTGTCAAGCAGAAAGCTGATTAGTGATACAACTAAACATATATTGCCAAGCAAGTGAATAGAAAGTAAGGAAGGTGATTTTAGTGGATTTATGAAGGTTTTGTTGCCTATGCAATGGGGCTAAAGTATTTTTTAAGTCCAGATCAAGATAAAATTCAGAAGTAGTTTTGGCAGACGCCTCCCAAATTCACCAAAGAGTGAGGAGATGCAGCACAACAAAACTAGCAAGATTTCAATAAAAATGCTATAGCCTTCCTGTGGAATTAATTTCATGGTCTGGTCTACATGATGGGTTTGACAGGTAGCAGCATCTAATCAGACTAAGCGTGATCTCAATGTTCTGATACATAAAAGATAGCGATAGTCAGGAACTATTTTCTACTGTCCATAGAAGATAAGAAATAACAGGTGTAAGTGGCAGTAATCTAGATTTTGTTTCGATATGAAGAAAAAACCTCCAGACAGTAAGACCTGTAAAACAGTGGAACAATCTACGTATGAAAGTTTTCTGAGAAGAGGTTGCACAGCCATTTCTCTCAGATAATTTAACTGGTTTTCTTTAGGGTTGGATTCCTGTGGTCCCTTCGAGCTCCATAATTCTGTGATTCTATCAATTTGTTCAAGTAGCTAAGGAGGTTAGATAAGCAGCAAGCAAATTAAACAAAGAAATAAGAAGGGTCAGGTTTGAGTAGTACTTGGATGGAAGACTACCAGACAATGCCCAGTTTGCTGATTTAACTGGGAAACTGACCAAATATTCCAGAAGAATGCAATGGTAAACAAATTCCTACATGGTAGTATCCAAGAAGTTACAAGAATCAACCTAGACATTTCTAACAGTATTTAGCATGGGGGGGGGGGGGGCAACTATGGCCCTCTTATGACCTGTGGAATTATGACCATGATAGCTCAGGAATTCTGGGAGTTGAAGTACACTTACAGCGGCCATGGTTGCCCACCCCTGATCTAGCAGATATGCCTGTACTAAGGCAGATTTCTGTTAAGAATATAAGCAGCACTTTTAAAATTCAACTTTATTTATAGAAAGTTTATCTGCTATTTTGCAAGCCAGAAATGTTATCCATGTTCCACAATTTGGATGTTATTAGCTGGTCCCCTGAAATTTTATTTCATTAGGTACTATCCATAAATCAAGATATTATCCAAGAAACATAAATAAATTTAATTTTTATTATTTAGCTCTATGTCCTGCTGCCATAGTCTTACCCAGTTCAGTGCTTAAGTGTTCATTCAGAAACAATTATCATGCACCTCAGGTTAGATGAAATAGCATCATGTAAAAAGGTTCCCATATGTAATTTAAATAATTTTTCATCTAATTCATAGCTTTCAACAACAGAGCCAAGGTTAGCATATAACCATATTCAGAAATGTTCTAGGTACATTCCAAGTATGAAGAAGAGCACTTAGATTATTAATATTTTGGTTTATGCACAAAAGCAACAACACAAGTTGCAGCAAATCTAAAATCATTAGAGGGTGCAATGCACCAGCACAACACTGCAAGGATGACAAATTCAGAGCAATTTATCTTCATGTTCAAAGAAAATGGAACCAGAAGCCAGGCAAGTAAAGGACACTTTTACCAGAGCAACATATCCAGGACATGTCATCCCTTGTAACTCCTAGAAAGGTGAGAATAGGCATTTGATCAATGACTTCTGTGTATGTAGCTTGGAGAACAAATATTTTAAAATAATGCATCTGAAATCCATGAGGTACAGTAAAAGGCATCTTTTGATTTACTTTTCGTCACACAAAATATGTGTCTGGAGCATATTATAATCCTTGTTTGAAGGTCATAGCATGAAGCTGACAAGATGCTTCTTGTTATGTCTGATATTTCTCTTAGCTGGACCAAATGCAATTCCACTTAAATTTAGGGCTACAAATAAAGATATGAACAATGCTAGATTTCAACCGCTTCATAAATCTGGAGCAAGATCTGAGCCACAAACTTGCAATTACAAAATTAGTGTATCAAACAGCCGAAAGGAAATGTGGGTTATATGAATCATTCTAGCGTTGATATGTTTGTTACTGGAATGCTTCACAGCAGAAATCTTTGGGCTATGTTTATAAATTGCAGTTAAGCAGCTTGGAATGAATTTTTGCATTGGCATAAGTACGCATATAAAATCATTATTATGCCTTGCATTTGCCAAGATTGATATTGAACTTTTTAGGATTATAAAGTAGTGCAATAAAAATAGCAAATTTTAAGAACTGAAAAATATCATTCTCAAGGGCTTTTTAAGCTGTATATTTGAATGTATTACAATGAAGATAATAAAATAATATAATCATTTAAAAATTACTTGCATTCTAATGTATCTTTTATTCATACAAAATATCCTATTCGGTTTTATGTTATTTCAAAAAGATCTCCTAATTTCCGAAAAGGAGCTTTTGGCATACAGTGGATCATGTTATGGAAGAAAAATATACCAAATAATCCTGTTTTTCTCATTTGTATTTTGATTCAAGCCACTATCATTCATCCTTTAATCTCTCTTCATTTTACTGCAAGAAGAAAGGAATGAGTAAATATGTATTTTGTTATTATTTAAAAGGACAAACAGGAACACTTAAAATAAAATTTCTGCAAAAATAAACTATCCTGGGAAAATGTGTGGCAATGGAAGCATGATACCAGAGCCTCAAGCAGTTGTTTAATTGGTGAATCCATAATGAGTTTCCTGTATTTAATATAGTTAGATAATTTAATGTCATATAATGAGCTGTTTCATTTGTTCTATGGAGTACTCTCACGGGATAAGGATTCAGATAACTAGATGTAGCCATCCCATAGCAGATAATTTTCTTCTATCAAAAAGCCCGTTGAAAAATCCTCCTGAATTTTTTTACCATTCATGTTCATACAGAAAGATGAAAGACAATTTTTGCATTAAGGTGCAAGGCATGTGTGCATGTACATATATGAATCCCTGTTCTTCATTATACACTAATATTTCTCGTAACCTGCCATGCCATTGGCATACCACTCTCCAATTAAACCTCAAAGGAAAACCTTACAAGGGGGCTTTTCAGTAGCTATGCTACTGTCATACTGGAAAACCAATTAAACATTGCAATGCAGAAAGTACAGTTAATAGACTGAGAATAAGTGCTCTGATTCAAGGTTACTGGCAAGCACATGCAGCCAAGCAGTAGACACTGCAGATAAGCTGATACCAGCAGACAGGAATGTAGTTCAAATGCTTAGCAGAGAGTGCTTTCCTGAAAAGCATTGCTTACAGTCCAAGAAGCAGTAGCATAGTGCAAATATGATCCAAAAGTTACAGAGAATCAGGTGGTCAGATGGTCAAAGGGTCACAAGACAGAAAACTAAATGATTGCCTCCAGCAAAGATTGCAAGCAAAGCAGCTATCTAAATCTGTCTCCAAACAGCTGGCTGCAATTATTCATGCCTCACTCTTTGCCTAACAAGGAGTCTCACTGAGGAGCATTGCTCTGCTCACCTCTGTGGAGATCTAGACTTAAACCTTGTGCCTTGTCATCTGATTGCTCCAGCTGAAAAATCGATGCTGTGGCTCACCAGCCTCAATTGAATCCTGCCTTACTAGGTCTTGAAACTGAGAATGCTGAAGTACAGGCTCAATAGGATCACACATGGCCACCGGCCCACTTCTTCAGTTTGCTCATGGCCGCAATGGAGCAGGAGGCTGAGCAACACACCAGTCCACAGCCAAAAGGCGAGGCAGAGTGGTGGAGCTGCCCCATGCACCCTGCACCGGCTTACCTCAAGGCTCCCATAGCTAGGCCATCCATGCCCCAACAGCTGCCTCATCTTGTGACCATGGCACTAGTGTGCTGTTCAGCCTCCTGGGCTCCTGTTGTACATGGCCGCTGGTGCTGCCGCTGCAAAGCAGATATCAGGGCATGGATGGCCTGGCTGAGGGGGCCCAGGTAAGCCGGTGCAGAGCATGAGGGGAGGCTCCACCACCACCCCACCTTACCTCATGGCCATGGCACTGTGAGCAATCAGATGGAATGGGCAGGCAGCTGGCTGCTCAGGCACTTGAGTAGGGCTTATTTTGTGGGTAGAGCTTATATTAGGCATACACCTAAACACATTAGGGCTTATTTTGGGGGTAGAGTTTATTTTCAGGGAAACCAGGTACATCATAAAATTCAAGGTCAGAGTCAGATTCTGAATTGTGACTCATAGGAGTAAGGGATGCCACGAATGAGAGTAGAGTTCATGGCTTGTATGTATGGAATTACAATTGAGAGATGGGGGCATTGGACAAGTAGAAGTTTTTGGAGGAAAGGACTTAACATATACATCAAAGATGGGGCAATTAAAGGAAACCAGAGCACAATGGCTCCTAGTTACACATCTATGGAGATTCTCAGTCATCTAGGTCATGGTTGTCCCAAAGTTGCCTCTTGGGGAAAAAAGCACTAATGGCTCCTAGTGTTCTGGGATCACACACTTTTTCAAATAGGCTTAGGAGATATTTAATACTGCTGTTGTACATTTAAAAATGTCAATAAGTATTCCAAAGGTTTTTGCAGCAGAGCCAAAAGCAATAGGGCATGCAGAAGAAAAAGTTATTGACCTCTATAGAGTTGTTGCCAGAGTAGAATTGGGGTTTTCTAGCTGCACTTTTGTAAAAATTAGACTTGCCATGCAGTAGGTGTCACAAACTTGACTTCTTTGAGTGTGAGGGCAGAATTTGTGGCCAAGGGATTGAGCTAAAGATCCATATACATTTGGTTTGATTCTTGACTTTAGTCTGGATTCATTAAGTGGCTTTAAGGAATCCACTTTGTCAGCTTCAGTCTGTAATCTGTTTATAATATTTGTTGTAGTTTGAAGGAAAGGAGAGGCTAGACCAGGGCATGCGGTTAACAATGTTTATTAAAGGAACGGTGGTTGTCGCGTCTGCCAGTCAACGGGCAGACTAGCGTGCGAACAACGGCTGGCTTGGCTTGACAGCCAGCTTTATATAGCCGGCTGTCAAACGGCGCCAGCCAATAGGAACGGTTGGTGATCCTGCTTAAAGAGCGGACCCGGTTGGAACCCCAACCGGTTCCCAAGACATAACAATATTATTCATTTGTCTGATTGTTAAATGCAATTGAATGCTTAAATACACCAGATAAATTGTATTAAGGATTCTTATTTATTATAGATTTAGGTGACTAATGACTTTTTATTCCTGGAAAATCTTTTTCATTGCTGGAAAATCCAAGACTATCCATAAAAACTGAACCACCTCATATTCTGCTATCTCCAATTCAGTGTTTCACCCTTAGAACTACATCTTCTAGCCAGTATAATCAATTCTCAATCAGCTGGAGATAATTAGTATTACAGTTTAACTAATTGAAGAGTAACACCAGGTTGGGAAAGGCTGTCCAACCCTGTCCATCTGCTTGGAGTGTTTTGATCCGTTCTGCCAAATAGTCATTCTTTCAGCCTCGTTCTCAGAGTAGGGTATCAGTGGGAAAGTGAAACAAATTGATTCATTTGCTCAAATAACTGAGCAGATGACCTCAAGAAAACTTCTGAAAATCCTAACAATACAAGTGGCGGTTTTGCAACCATGAAGGTTTTACTGTAATGATAAGTCTCTGAAAATTTATAATTTTTATAAAATACACTTATTTTGGAAAAGAGAACATTAGAAGAAAATGTGAAAATAAATAATTGTGCACCCAAACACACTATTCCAGATAAAATGAGTTAAGTTGATCTGATAGAGCAAGTTCATTTTTTTATTTTTTATTTTTTGTTCTTGAACAGTCTTGGTTTCCCAACAAGCTTGCAAGGAAACAGTTCATATAAAAAAAGCATGATCTAAAGGAGAACATACTTGGCATCTTAATTAGACATCGTTAGGGCTACTGAGACTAAAAGTATAGCTATGTTTTTATGGAAATCCGATTTCAAGTAAAACCAGTCTCTAAGCAGAGCATATCATGTTTTTCCCATTCATGTGATTATCTCCTAATTTGCACCTAGATCCAATTTTTCATAAATTTATATTAACTAAGATAATTAGCTCCAGCTAAAAATTAACATAAATAAAATCTTAACATGTGAAAACGTTAGAAAATAGAAATGTTAACTTGATCTATTCAGCTTTCTCAACCTGGTGTCATGCCCCTGTCGGAGTCTGAAACAGAGAAGGAAGATGAACAGCTGACAGGGAGTGGGAGTGTGTTTCCGTTGGCTGTGGGGAAAGGCAAAGTCCAGCTGGGCAGAGCAGGGGAGAGATAGAACAAGGGAGAGGGAGTTCAGAGGAAGACCTAGGCCCACCCCCTCTTCATCCTAGGGCACATAGGGAGGAATGGAGAAAAGAGCAACTTGTGGGTTGCATGGCTTACGGGGGAGGAAAGGGCCCTGATTCCCTTCAATAGCCACACTTGGGAATGCATACTGAGTGCGGCAGCTGTTGGGAGCAAACATGAGTTTATCTTGTGTTAACTTTGCTTATCTGTGTTCCTGGCGTCTTTCCAACCATGTGGAGTTATTGTTGTGCCTTCACATCTGGAATTCTTGCTCCTGCCCTGTCAGACCAATTACCTCATTTTGCCTTGTTTGGACTTATAATTTTTGTTGACCACATTTTGGACTTGATTCTCTGCAGCC